AGCAGTGGCATCTAAGGAGAGGTATGAACAGCTAGTTTTAAGCCACTGTCTAGTCTAAAGTAGAACGATAATTTTTTCTCGCATTGGAAACCTTCAGTTACGAAATTTTTAAATCGAATCGTATCTCGTAAAATGATGTAAGTAATACACAGAACAGGCTCATTATCATTTAAAAAAATTGAAAAGGTATTTCTACCTTTTATTTCTTATTCTTTTTCTTCTTCAATTTCTTCTTTTCCCTCTGCTTTCTTTTCTCTTTCTTCTTTCCAATTTCTTTTGTTCTCCTCACGTTTCTCTCCTGATCCCACTGCTTTACATTCTTTCCCTTACCCTTCTTACTACTTCTTAAAATTGTGGCAAATCCACTCACTTACTTTTTTAAAATTGTTACTTTGTTCGTGACGGTCAGCTGCTGCACCTTAAAGTCGCCGTTCTGACTACCGTCTAACATCTGAACATCTGTGCGGTGAGCGGTTTGCATCTACGGGACGGTTTAACCGAGAAATCTGGTCGGAGCCTAAAGCCAGACATCATGGATCTGGGTTGCTCTGCTGTTTTGCTATCCTTTGATGCCACCGATTCATACATGCTGCACTCAATCTTTGCATTCATTGTTCAACCGCCAGGCGAGCGTGAACAAACGATTTGTTCAATAGGGTTCGACGATTACACAGTCGGCATGAACATTGAGTCATTATTTTTTAAGTCACCGCTTCGCTTAAAATATGTATCTACAATTTTTATTTATCTATTCAATGCATAATGCAAAATACGATTATATGATTATTTTTAAATACGATCAGGCCAGTTTCTATACTATTAATATTTAAAAAGTTGTAAAAGAAATTATTACCGAATACTTTGGGATTCTCTGATTCCAAAACAAGGCACGGTTCACGCTTCATGTTTAGCTCAATCGATATTGAAAACAGCTTGTGTACCGAATATGGAAACATCTGCGAACTTAACCCAACAGCAAGGGCAGGGTGCAACTGGCAAATTTATGGCGAAATGCATCGACAGTGCATCGACACGCCTGCGATATCTGACATGAAACGCGAAGAACACCGCAAGCTGATGACCGACGTGCCGGAAATGAGTTGCACAACGTAAAGTGTTAAATTCTGCGGCTGACGTAATGAACTTGTGCCTCTGCAGGATCGGTTCGAAGTGCAGATGCTGTTGTCTTCCTTGGGAGCCGAACAGCCAGGGGACGGAATGCGTCAAACCCGAGTGTAAAGTTGACCGTGACGCTGTTCGTCGACAACCAATCAGCAAAACTCTCGTTTAGTTAACCAGTGTAGGCCATGGAAAGAGTGGACCGACTGGAGTCAGTGCCTTTGGTTTCCGCAAGGATGGATGGTTCGCAACATCAGACAGCACTGTGCCCTTGACTACAAGGTCGACATCCCGAACATGTTCCACGCTCCAGAAGGACAGCAGTTCACAGAAAAATGCGGCTTCTGTAGCTTCCGTGTTCGTTGTCGCAAGCGCATCTCGACCTCAGGTTGCTTGTGAGTTCATTTGCTGTCGCTTCATAGATCTAAACTCGATTTAAGTTAATTGTGCTTTATGTCGTCGTTTATTTCTCTCATGTTTTAATACTGGCAATTGGCAAAATTCAGAAATTTGAAAATAATGAATTTATTTCGTACAAAATAAGCCAAAAAATTTATCGAACTGAAAAACGTTTAATCGACATTTAAGTTTGTGTCTCAGAAAGGTTCAATGATAACTCTGACAAGTTTGAAGGGAACAGTGGTGCAGTGCATAATCGTTAGCTGTGAATATTCAACAGATGCCTGTATATTTTCTTCTTATCCAGTATCCATTGAACAATAAATTCACTCCGTTTAATTTTTATGCAAACATCCGATTAAAACGTGGCAAGTCAAGGAACTTAGGAGTAAGGGAGTGCAATTACCCTATATCTGGCTTATTCAGCTCTAAGTGTAACTCCCTGATACAGACACATACTCCGAAGAAGGCCCCTGAGATATATGCCACACGATGGCTAAACATTTCTGAATGAGCCGATTTTATTGCCCTGTATTTACTATCTGTGATCGTAAGGAAAATAGAAGTGCTCTAAACGGTCTTTTAGGGAAAATTTCCTTTCAGCCTTTTACAGAAGGTCACAATATATTAGATCCAGTATGATGAATATAAGCAAAATGACAATGTCTCTCATCATCTTCATATTCCATAACCGTTCCTTCTTTCGGGTTGCGGAGGGACACGTATCAGACAATGCTTTCAACGTTCCTGCTCCTGAGCTTCGGCAGTACACAGCTGGAGTCTGGAACAGACTCCTTTCATAAATTTTTCACCAGGTTAATTTTGGCCGTTTCCTGGGCCTACTGCCGGTCAGATTCACAAGAAACAATTGCTCCGCCATCCTTTCTGGAGATATTCGCAACACATGCCCAAACCATCGCAGTTGTGACTTCAAAACCTCTGGAAGCAGAAGCTTTCCCGGACGTCGGTATTACGGACCATATCGAGACACCAGCGACTCGTCTAAGAAAGCCTATTTCAGCCGTTTTCCCCGGGATCGATGCTTTTCAGTCATAATCCACGACTCATGACCGTATGTAAGCATGGGGATAAAGATCGACTTGATCACTGAGACTCGGACTCGGCTCTTCTAATGTCACAAAGCTTCGGGCTAATTCACGTAGAACGCCATTGGCGACGCCAATCATCGAGTCCATTTCTTCCTCAAATTTTCCATCATTAGTAAATACGGCCCTGAGGTAACTGACCTTCTCCACAAGCACTACTACTTCTCCGTTAATCTGAACGGAGCAACGCGCAAAAGAACGAGGAAGCTTTTCGTTTTAGGTACATTCATGTGCATGCCGGCTTCGTCGCACTCGGCTGCGAACCTTTCCAGACACTGTTGTAGAACAGTTTCAGGCGATGTCAACAAAGTACAGTCGTCTGCATAGAGTAACCTTGCCGTCTTGGCATCTCCTGCACCGATGCACTCATTGCCAGAGCCTGGCTAATCCATCCGTGTGCCATACAAGCAACAGAGAGGACAGAAATCAGGCTTACCGGAGGTCAGAGCCAGTGCTGAAAGGTTTCGACTTAACGTCATTTAATTTGACACAGCACTTGCTATCAGCATATAGTGACTGGTTGGCTCGTAGCAAGTGGTTATTTATCCCACATGTTAGCTGGCATGCCCACAGACTCTTCTGCTTGATCCGGCGATAAGCTTTCTCTAGGTCAACAGAGCAGATATACCCAAACAAAGAATCAAATGTGTTTCGATGATGTTTACAAGTTTCGATCTCCAATGCGACAAAGATAATGCTTTCCATTTGATTCTCTGGCTTCTTCTGCACCAGATCTTCGTATGTTACTCCATTTCTTACAGCGCAGCGTGCCAACAACAAGGTGATGATCGGTTGATAGCTCTGCGCCTCTTT